CTTTCGACAACGAATGAAAATTTTCGTCGTTAGAAAGATGCACCTTCGGCGACGATTTTATAAAATCGTCGTTGAAGGTCAATCTAGACCCTTCGTTGAGGTTTTGCAGCGTACTTTCGGCGACAAATGGGTATGTTTTCATCGCCGAAAGCACCACCTTCAACGACGAGTTTATAAAATCGTCGCCGAAGGTGTTCCCATCGACGACGAAATTACGTGTCATCACTGAAAGTTGGAACTTTCAGCGACGACACATATGATTTCGTAGCTAAAGGTGTGGCTTTCGGCGACGGAAATGGGTTTCGTCGCCAAAGCGTCGTTGAATCTCAAATTTCTTGCAATGTGATTCCAATCAAGACTAAGGTTAGAATGATGAATCACTCTTAGATCGAACCTAAATCCATGATGGTCACTTCGAAATCTTAAGACGACTCACTCCAAAATTAACTTGATCAGGACTAATATCCAGTGAGTTGGTTTAACATCAAACCTAAAGCAAAATTGAAAAAACAACATCAAATGTGTTAGGGAAGAAAAAAGAATTATAACATGTTAAATATGACCATGCGAATTTCAACCCATTTTCCTACAATTTTATGTCACTAATTTATTTTCATAAAAGATATACCTTAAATCATTTTAACTTAGTCATTTTATGGGTATATAAAGTAAACAGGTTATGATATAAATTAATATTAAACCTACCCTCAACTACCATAATTTGGCTTAATGAAATTAAATAATCAAAATCCACACGTAAGTTGATCTAAATACTCATGGTAAAAAAAAATTACAATGATCACAAATATGAAAGAAGTTGTATTTTGTAGCAATTTTTCTTAATAAAACTAAAAAAGTTCGTTATTTAAAAAAATAATTCAAAAAAATCATTAATTAATGCATAAATTATATGGACCCTATAATTACTATTGATATGAGAATATCTTTATTATATGCATGGATCAACAACAAATACTAGAAATGGAAAGAGAAATATGCACTACATATAGTTTAGATATGCAAACTAACTATTTTTATATTTAAAACAAGATATGGTCAAATTTTTATACTGGAAGTCTCAAATTTGCTGTATTATTATATTAATTAGATTATAATCACAAAATAAATACCTTCCATATTTGCCAGATCCATATCAAATCATAAAAATCAAACCTTGTTAAAATTAAAATTTTTATATTTATACGATTACTTGTTAATATATATATATATATATATATATATATATTTATAGGATTATAATCTTTAGAAAATTCTCAAAATGATTTTTTACCCTACAAGTATATATGAATATATAAGGAACAAATATGATATTAGAAAAAATAATGTTGACTATGGGAAATTAGGTCAACCTATAATTTATAAATAAAATGGGAAATTGGGTATTTCGATTTTGTAAAATGCAATCCAAGAAAATATATTTTTTTTTAATATGATTTTGGTTTCGTTTTTTGAATGTTCTTGTTTCATTGAGAAACTATCAGCTTAATGTGGTTAATGCAATGTTTAAATATTTGTTGTAAACAATATTTATACGTCAAGACAATTGGGTCTATATACAAATATTTTTTACAAGATTATAATCTTTAACAAATTTTAAAAATGATTATTGAAAAAAAAATACTTAAAATTATTCTCTTACCATACTGGTTTGAGACTTTTGAGTATGGGGACAAATATGATATTGAAAAGAATCTCAGGTTGACTTTTGGCAATTAGGTCAGTCCATAGTTATAATTAAAATGGATTAACAAATTTATATAAGTACGGTTGACATCATTCACGAACTTTCATACATGTTTTGATTTGGTCTCTAATTAATTGTCAAATGTTTAACTTTGTATAAAAAATTACTTATCTTTATCATTTAATTATGGGAAAGTTGCATATATGTTAAAAATATTTAGTAACATTAACAAAATAGTCACTACATTTAGTTTTTTCAAATATAACACTTAAAAAAATGGAAGTCTAATTTTAAAATGACAATTTTATCCAAATGATATACATCCGTAATATATTTGTAGTATATCTGACTACTGATACACGTATGTGATATACATCTGATATACTATTGATATAAGTGTTTGATATACTTGCAATATATATGTGATATACATCTAATACGCTACTAATATGAGTGTTTATGATGTATATGACATACATCTAATATACTACTGATATAAATATCTGATATACTATTGCTATGAATATCTGTGCCATATGTATGTGGTATACATCTAATATACTATGGATATGAGTATTTGATATATTATTGATATGAGTATCTGATATACTACTAATATAAGTGAAATTTCTTGCTATATTTAAAAATTTTAAAAACATGTGACATATTTTGAAATACATAAACAATTTTTGCTACCCACTTCAATTTCTCTTTAATTATTAATCATTTAACATGTAACCTATAACCATTCGGAACTGACTCCAAATGTTGTGATATGAGATTTTTGAAGTATAAAGTTTAGGATCATTAGAAGTAAACCTATAATATTAGGTTTTTAAAATTTTAAAATGTCTATTTTAGTTTTTAACTTTCAAAAACATTATTCATTTTGGTTATAGTTATTTGTGTTGTCAATTGGTTATTAATAGGTTGGTAATGTGGCTTGGAATTCGAGTATGAACGTGCTTAATTATGTCGACATTTATTGAAGCCTTATAAACTAGCTGAGATATTATTGAGTGTGGCAGATATTATGTTCCAAATCTGACCTATTGATTATTGCTAAAATAAAGTTTTTAGTACATTACTTGGGGTTAATTCTACCTAAGCATGAGAGGAGGAACATAATTTGTGGTACGAAAAACAAGTTGTAAGATGTGGTACGAAAAACAAGTTGTAAGAGTCCAATCCGAGCGTCTTAATATTCGATCTCGTCCACTACCTAACTTCAACTAGCTAAAAAAAAAAACTAGAATATATCATGAGTTCATAACACCCTCACATCAAAATATCAATACACATATTCAAAATTCCATCATCAGTGTAAAATAATTGATGACAAAATAACATCGGATCGTACATATAAATTGTTTGGGGAAAGAATACCCTGAACACGTGGAGGACCCCTATTGGTTCTCCAAGATGACTTATGAGTCATGCCCAGCTCGGACTGTCGAGATCACCACCGTTAGCGTTTATGAATGCTAAGTATGAGGGCCGAGGTGAACCTGGCCAAGGTCCGACCTACCGGGAAGCTCGGTAGGGACCGATGTGAGCTGCTGTCAGCGGCGTGATTATCGGGCGTAACCAACGGTCCCGAGATTACCGGGTGTAACCGTCGCGAGATTAGCGGGACTACCACCCATAAGTAGAGGACCTCACTCCACGATCAGGTAC